AGTAAGGTTAGAAGGCATGTATAAAGTCAGAACTTAAATTTTTAAAGGTTATTGTGTTTATGTAAGGTTATAATGTATGTAGATCAGAACATATGTACTTTGAAGGTTGTTATTTTGTTCACTAAAAGTTAGAATGTGTGTGTGTAAGATCAGAACATGAATACTCTGAAGTTGTTCAATTTCAGTTGAGATTAGAATACATGGAGTAGATGAAAATATGAATACTTCAGAGTTCACATTCACTTAAGGTGAGAATGTGTATACATGGTCAGAACACAAATACTTTGAAAGTACTTTATTTTCACTGAAGATTAGTGAAAATATATTTTTTTTATCTACAGTGGAACCTCGCTTAATGAGCACCTCTCATAACGAGTAATTCGCATAATGAGCAAAACAAATTGAAAAAAAAAACGACTCGCTTAACGAGCAATGTTTCGCATAACGAGTGACGAGAGGGGAAGTCCCAGATTGTGCGCTTGCTACATCAGTCTGTGTTTAGCACTCGTTCCGCTAGCATCTTATTGTCGCTTGTGATCACACATTTTTCCAAACTTGTATTCAGACATATTATTTGTGATTTTTTTGTGCAAAGTTTAATAACCGTTGCAAAAGTGTCCCCGAAGAAAAAGCCGCAAAAAGACAGCCATAAGAGAATAAAAATAACCATAGAAATGAAACGTAAAATCATTGAAAAGTGAGAACAAGGTGTGAGCGTGGCTGATCTAGCATGCACATACAATTGGTCTACATCAACGATTTGCATGATTTGGAGTTGCACCGTGTTTCACAGCAAGAAATTGTGGAGGAGAGTTTGTCAGAGGAGGAGGAGGAGATAACGGCAAAGCAACAATCTTCTGGTGCAATAAGAGAAATGCTGAAAGCACGGGAAACTGTTGCATCGTACACTGAGAAGCATCACCCTAATAAGGCAGCGGCTATGCGCACTACAAATTTATTTAATGATAATGCTGCATCGCATTTTCACCAAATTTTGAAGCGTCAGCAAAAACTAGTAAAAAAGGATTAGATATGTATCATAAATAATAAACTAATTTCGATTTTTTTTTCTGCAAATCGAATTCGCATTCCAGGTTGGTTCATTCTGCATAGAAGAAAAGATGAAGATGATTCACACTCCTTAACAATGTATATATAATTTTCTTTGAATAAACGTTATACATAAAATCTTTTGAGTATTTTTTTCGGCATGGAACGCGTTATTGTATTTTACATTAATTTATATGGGAAAAATTGTTTCGCTTAACGAGTGTTTCGCATTACAAGTAAGATTCTGGAATGAATTATGCTCGTTAAGCGAGGTTCCACTGTATTTTTTATTAGTCTGGTTATTTAATTGTCAGACCTTATGATATTATGAGCTTTTAAATACATGGCATGAAATTGAAAATCAAGTGCAAGCCTCAAGAACACATCATTTGTTCATCACTAGACTTAACCATCTTCATGCATTCTGCATAAGATCTTAATTCTTTGTAGCCAGTCTCCAAGATTATTCACTGAAGTAGTCATTTTTTAACTTTGATCATGTGCTTTTTTGTGTGTTTTTGAATTGAAAATGAAGTTCTTGCCATGTTTAGATGACAGATGTGAATATTGAGATAAAATTTGAAGTTTTCATGGCATCCAGTATCCATATTGTAGTCTTCTGGATTGTGACACTGCAATCTTGTATGTGGTTACCACGTACCAGACAATATGCTGCCACAACTCAAAAGACCACAATTTATATGAATGTTGGTGCTTCTTGTCCTTTGTACCCTCTTAAGAGTTTCCAATACATTTTACAAGGGTTATTCAGAAAGTAAACTCTGGTGATCTGTTAACAAAGCAAGCAATGAAAAAAAATGTACAAAAAAAATACATACATACTTAAGCTATTTCTCAATGTAGTTACTGCTGGAATTGAGGCATCTGTCATATCAGGAAATAAGTTTTTGTATGCATGTGTTAATGAAGTCTACTGCCTGTGAGCTGCATCATGTTTTGACACTTTCAGTAAACTCATTTTTGTTGAAACACTGTGATCGCAACCAGTTCTTCAGGTTCGTAAACAGGTGAGGCTCATTTGGAGTGATATCAGGGCTGTAAGAAGGGTAGTCAAATAACTCCCAGTTGAAATGTTGCAGCAGTGCTCTATAGTGTGCAGCTCTATGCAGACATTCATTATCATGGAGGAGCACTATGAGTACACTGGATGTCAGCATTCCACACCTTTTGTTCTGAATGACCTTACACAGTTTTTTATAGTGTTTCACAATACACTTCTGACATTATTGTCGTTCCTTGTTGCATGAATTCCACCATCAACACTCCTTTCCTGTCACAGAAAACAATTTCCATCAGCTTTCTGGCAGGGAGACAGTGTTTCTTTAAATTTTTTTTGGCTTGTTTGGTGAATGTGTATGCATCCACTTCTCTGACTGATCATTGGTTTCATCATTGACAAACAAAACCCAGGTTTCATCACCTGTTACTTGTATGATGAGATTGAGAAATTAATTGCCATCTTTGTGATATTGCTCTAAAAATGTCAAAGCCCAAGTCATCCTATGCACCTATGTGCACCCATGAGCATTTTCGGAACCCATCTTTCACAGAACTTATAGCCTACCCTAACTGTGATAATCTCATAGAGAATAGTGCATGAAATTTGTGGAAATTTACACGAACGTTCTGAAATTGTGGAACGCGGTCTTTCACAAATTTTTTTGGCAACACTTTGAACAAGATCCTCATTCACTACAGATGGGCAATCACTTCCCTCTTCATCACGAACATGTGTTCGTCCATCTTTTAACATTCTACACCATTGTCTTAGAGTTCCTTCAATCATTACATTTTGGCCGTAAACTGCATGATTCACAATAGATTTCCACAGCACTCACATTTTTAGTGTGAAGAAAGCTGATAAGAGCACAAATTTCGCAGCTGGCAGGATTATCAATCACAGGACACATCACAACTCATGCTGTAGAGACAAGATTAAACACTAGGTGACTAGTTGTGTGATGCTGCCTCACATGTGTGAGCTCTCTCCTGCTCCTACTTTAGTTGCCTAAAAGAAACAGGGTTTACTTTCCGAATAGCCCTCATACAGCCATGTAACACGGAACTAACTCCATTGCACTGAGTCTTTCTTGAGAAACTGATAGTTGTCCAGCATTTTATGGAAACTGGTGGTTCATTACCATCATCACGAAAGCCTCCCACTGGTTTATATCCTGAGTCAGAAGAAATCAACCCACACTTTTCCATTATATTTCTTTAAGGTTGTTTTAATATTATTCTCGTGTTTGTGTCTAGAGCTTCCTAGTGGTCTCTTCAGATTTTCATACTGCAACTTTATATGCATATTGCTCCCATGCATCCTACACACACTACCCGTTTCTTCCTGCTTGATGTGATTATTTTTAATTATATTTGGTGAGCAGTACAAATTATGAAGCTCCCTAATGTACTGTTTTCTTCAATCTCCTGTTCATCCTTCTGGGTATTCCCGTAAGTTGAGGTATGAAGTTTCACACCTGTACAAAACAGTTAATTGAGCTTATGTACAAATTAAGATTACAGTTTTATGTCACCTGATACCATTGAGTGCAGTGAATAGGTACCAATATTCTTGATGAATCAGCTTCCCTGTTCTACCATGAAGACATAGATGGCAGGTTCCTCTGAAACATTAGTATGTATTAGTACCTATCTACCAGAATACACCCCAACCCAGAAAACCATAATCTTAATATTCACTGCTGTGAGAACCTCACGTACAGTATGAAAAAATGTCTGGTGATGTGACTGGAAATGGTAACAAATTTGAAACAATGGTCATATTTTAAGTTGACTGGTATGTGAATGTGTTAAGATTTATGTTATGTGCTATAGGAGGAGTGGGTGTTGATCCATTCAGTTCATTTCATGTTGAAATGCTTCATTTTATTGTTATAGATGGTGCTGTTGTTTTTAATAAACTTTGTATATCTATATTTGGACATATGCAGTCATGGCCTAAGTGTAGTACTATCACATCATTTGCCTAGAAAGGCTGTTAAGAATCATGATTAACCTTGATCAGAGTAGCAGTTGTCCAGACTGAAGTTGGAACCAAGCACCTCCCAAACTTGTTCTTACAGCCCAATGCCAATTAACTGTTCATGAACAGGAAAGGCTTTCTCCATTTGAGATGAGTTTGAAAGTATTTTGTGAATCAAGAAAAAGAATAGAATTTTCTCTACTAGATTTGTTGCTGTAATTACAACTTAGAGAAGGGGGGGGTACTGATTATCAGTTGGCATTGACAATCCTGAATCGACATGAAGGTGAAAAATTTGAATACCTGACACCATGTAAGGTAATAGAGAATGGTGCAGCATGGGCAAAAAGTGGGAGGGAGACCGATTTTGTTGGCAGGTTGATTGATTTTCCAACCATTGACTTTCTGATGGATGGAATATTTTGCCTTCTGCTGCTCAGAGCAGAAGTGTTATATGGATGTTCTCAAACTTTCAGACTGAAAAATAACCTCTGTAGTCACATTCTCTTTTTGGGTTCAGTCCTGCAAGTTCAAAACACACATTCCTACAGTTAATCATGTCCGTATTTTTCAAGCACCATTATACTCCCCAGACTATGTTTATTTTGTCAGTATTTCAGGTTTTACTATTTTGGCTAATTTTCTGTTTTGTTTGAAAGTTATATACTGCCTTTTCAAAGTACGTTCTTTAAACTGACATTAAAATTCAAACATTCAAATAAAATATGATACAGATTTCTTCAGTTAGATGTAAAAAAAAAAGCAGAAACTGAAAATAATTATACTGAGGGTTGGCCCAGATGATGCAGTACATGGACATGATCCCATCTGGGGTTTGCCCAGCATCCCTTTACAGCACCTTACAAAAATTTATGTATGTCAAATCTACAAATGCCTATTACATTAGCTATATCAGAAAATGATCATCCTTTGTTTTCATCTTCAGAATGGTCACGAGAAGCTCTTCTGGAGAAATGGATGAAAGACCCAGTGCAGTGTTGTCAGTTGGCTGGTGTACAGCCTCCAACATCAGCGTTGCAGCATTGTACCTCGGAACCATCATCTGTTACACTGGAATACAGTAATGCAGAGACATCTGGTGCCATTCAGCAACAAGGCACTACAAAAATACATGTTGAAACTATAGTAAGCATATTATTGAGTTTAGGCTTTCATGGTGGTTAACTGTTTATGTTGATGCCACTGTGTTGATTTGGGCAGTGTTGCTGACATCAAAGAGGTACACAGTATTTCCATCTTCAGGGTCAAAATATATAGGCTGTGTGACTTTCTGTGTACCTTTAGGTTTATGTTTTGAAAAAGCCACAGAGGGAATAAGGATTGTTGCACCATCCAAGCCAAGAGAGGCACTGGTCACAGAGATCTGTGAAAGTAAATGAATGGCCCTTACATGGGTCATGGAATGTGCCAGAAAACCATCAGCAACTGGTATTCCCAAGTGCTCACCAGGCATAGTGTTGCATAACCCACTGAAGTTTGAGCAGCTTGAAAAGTGTAATTTCTTCAGGGTAGGTGAGGAGTGATATAACACATGATGGAGATGGGCCTAGAAAGGGGTTGTGGGTGAGTTTTGTGGGGAAGAGGGTGTATTGAAAGTGAACTCCCTTAAACAGTTATTGTAGCTGTTCCCCAATTTGGCATGGGAATTTTGCAGGGAGAATATGTTTGTGACATCCTGTTTGCTGCTTGCTTGTGTGAATGATCTTTTTTCTAGGTAGGGCGCAACTGGTAGCCACCTATGTTAAGTTGTTACATAGGTTGATTTCTGTGGCTTTCCTTAAATCCTTGCTGGTGTATTTGAGCAGCTTCACTAATGCCATGATGTCCTTGATGTATATTGGGTGCCCTGGTTGACCAAATGTTCCACCACCACTGAGCATTCCAGATGGTAGTTTTGGAGCTCACTCTGGTGCTCCTTCATGCATTCTTGAAGTATGTGGTCTGTCTCACCAATGTACATGACCCTGCATTCACATCTGATTTGTAGACTTCTTTAGCTTTAAGATCCAAGGTTTTCCTTAGCTGTACAGAGAATGCCACATATCTTTAATTGTGGTTGGTATATGGTTTATATGTTGTACCGTGCCAGTATTTTGCTGATGCTGTTGGATAGCTTCTGCACATGTACTAGTGGGTTTCTGCTTGTTGTCTTTCTTGGCCTTCCTTTTGACCATTTTGCTCTGTGGAATCTGCCTTGTGGTATAACCTATACAGAGTGTCCCAGGAGGAAAGGTCAGTAATCTGGGTGGTAATAGTATCAGTTATTCTAAGCAGGAATTGTATATGTACATGTGTCCTATTCCAAACGGTTTCCAAGTTATAGCTATTTCACTGTACAGTTTCAAAATTGTCTATAAGAAAGAAATATTACGTACTTTTCTAATACTGGCATTTATTTTTCAAGCATTTTTTAAAATTCCACTGTCAACATCAATGCACTTTGCAACTCGTGTGAGGACATGGCATGTTGCTTGTCTGTACAGTGAAATAGCTCTATCTCGGAAACCGTTCGGCATAGGATACATGTATGTATATACTTCCCCTCCCCCTTGGAATGACTGATGCTGTTACTTCCCAGAATATTTACTTTTCCCCCTGAGAGACCCTGTATATCAAGTGATGGCTTCGTATCGTAATTACACCCATTTGTTTCAACCTGGAACTGTGTGCTGGACCACCATGAGACCTTTATTTCTATAACAGTGTCCATGGTAATATCCCACTGTTTTATGAAGATACCAAGAAGAAACTTGGTCAGGATACTCAATTTTCAGTCCAGGAATCAAAATTGGGATGTACTGAATGTGAAGAAGATGTGCTTACTGCTGCAGTATATCATATTATCTGTAATGATTAATATGGGTAGCTGGTAGTTTCAGGTCAAGGCACAGGACTTCTGTGCCACAACGTTAGATTCATAATTGGCCAGGTCTAGGATACATTTCCTGCATGTGTTTCTGTCACTCACCAGTGAAGGACCTTCATGAATGTTGGGAGTTCGAGGTTCCTGTAATAGTTTGAAGTCCATGTTAACCCTTTGAAGCATGACATTCAAACAGTATTTGAAAAGGCTCAGTTCCTCTCTTGCACAAAATACACTTTTGTCTCCATTACAAAGAATGATCAGTTAATGCTGCTTAGGGAAATAACAGTTTGTTCATGAATGCAAAGTTTTTTTCATGTTGATCTTTCCTAACCCCCATTCGGAAACCTTAGATACCAGCTTACCATTTATTTTATGACACTTCACAGAAATATGAATAGCTTCAACTCACAGCTTCTTCATGACAGAAAATAGAGACTCTAGAAACATATTCAACTGTATTATCATCAAAATGAAAATCAGTCAACCAGAGATGACAGGAGATAGTTAACTCCATAGATCAGAGTCTTTCTTGAGAAGGTAATAGTTGCTAAACTAGTCAAACTTCCTGAATTTTATGATACTGGGAGACTCATTTCAGAGGTTGCAAGAGCTCACCGCTGATCACTATATAGAGCCAGATGAGTGCAGACTGTACAAACTATAAGTTTAATTCTTCTTTACACACCTTTCTAAATATCTTTGAAGCTATTTTTCCAGTTCAAAATAAAAGTGTAGGGAAAATAAAAAATGACTGGATTACACAAGGAATTAAAATATCTTGCAAACATAAAAGGAGCCTATATATTTACAGTAGAAGTCGTAATAATCCAAAACTGAGAGCATATTACAATAAGTATTGCAAAATTCTAAGCAGAGTAATAAAAGAGGCTAAAAGGCAGCGTTACTGTAGACTTATATCAAAAGCAGATGATAAGATAAAAACAACCTGGAATATAATAAAATATGAGTCAGGAAAATTACATCAGACTGAACAGATACCATCTGTTCTTATAAATGATGAAAAAGTAAAGGATTCAGAAATAATCGCAGATGCCTTAAATACTTTTTTGACAATTATGGAAAATCTAAACTTGCATCAAGGGGCAAAAGTGATGCTATTTCATTTCTAAACGATGGTTATCCTAGAAAATTCCCTGATATTAAGTCCATTCCGACCACGGAAACTGAGATAAAAAGCATATTACTTTCTCTCAAGGCAAGAAACTCCTCAGGTTATGGTGGAATAACAAGTAAAATTTTAAAAGTTTGTACATCACTGATCAGTCGCCCATTAACTCACATTTGTAATTGCTTGCTCTTGACTGGGATCTTCCCTAACCATCTTAAGATTTCAATAGTAAGACCGCTATACAAAAAAGGTGACAAATCTAGTATGTCAAACTATAGACCAATCTCACTATTAACTACTTTTTCTAAAGTACTTGCGAATGTTATGTACAATACATTAAGCCATTATTTGCAGACTAATAATATACTGGTCCCAGAACAATTCGGCTTCAGAAGGGAATATCCACTGAAAACACAGCCTTTATGCTAACAGATAGTATTGTTACGTATCAGGCGTATATCGCGACAAATAACTTCACGCCGTATTTTATATAGCAAATTTTATTTCACATTCGCACTTACAATCACCCAAATTACAGATTTACGATTACTGCTATC